TGCCCAGCAGAGCCGTGTAAGGAAGGGCTAGAGCATTGGTGCTATTATGGCTGATTTTGCTGTGACTATATTCTACAGTAGCCAAGATTCTAATTCAAGGCCTTTGCTGCCCCCACCAGATCTTCTGACCTGAGTCCTGGGAAACAGACACATTCAAATCCCCAGCCCAGAGTGAATGAGGAGGGAGGAGGCTTGGCAAGCTCCTCCTTCAGGATTAAGACTGCCCCCTGCTGTAGGGAGCTAGCCCTGAGGGTACCCATAGGTTTGTAGCTTGCTGTGTTCTACTTTACATACTACTTTACATACTAACATCTAATCCTTCTAACAACCATATGATGTAAGCACTATTATCATCCCCATTTTACTGAGAAGAAATTGGAGCCCTGAGACAGTAAGCAATTTGCCCAAGGTCACACAGCAAGTTAGTGAGAGCTGGGACTTGAATCCAAGTAGTCTGCTCTCAGCTCACTTTGCTGCTCTGCTGAGCTTCTTAAACTTCATGCCTGTGGCTTGTGTGAACCCATCATTGGCCTCCATACAAGGAAGAGGGATGTGGCCTTGCTTTGGGGGCAGTGGGACAAGACAGCTGGGAAGCTGAATTGTCCTTCACAGTCAGGTCTGTCTGGGTCAGGCTCTCAGGACAGAGAAGGTGCTGGCAGCTGCTGAGGGTGCAGGACAGGGTACAGGGCTAGGAACAGAGGCAGGCTGGGGCCAGGGCCTGAAGCCAGAGGAGGGAGGACCAGAGAGAGGTCTGGCTGAGTCCCAGGTATCCCACAAAGTCTAGGATCCCTCAGCTTTGAACCTGTGGGCCCAAATCATGCTCCCTCTTTGTGCTTGGGCTCAAGCACTCAGAGCGCAGTGGAAATCACTCCTCAGAGGAATCTAGGAAGGCCTCTTAGGACAGGGTCCAAGGTCCTACTCAGGGGCCTGCTCAGCCAGGCATGATGCCCACAGTGGGTTCCTAGAAGAAGCCCTCCCTGCTGACCCTGGCTGGGTGCTGGGCTCAGGGAAAGCAAGCCCTTCCCTTGCCTGGATCCCTCAGAGGCTCTGACTCGGGTCCCAAAGAATACATGACAACGGGGACAGCTGAGCTGCTTCCAGGCCCAGAACTGCAGGCAGGACAGTGTCTGCCCCGCACCCCGCCCCCTCCCCAGGTGGGCACTGAGGGAGTGTAAAGTTTCCAGCAGCTGAGTTTCCAGCAGCTCCTCCCTTGTTCAACACATGCCCTCCACCCCTTAGTTCTGCTCCTCAACGTCCTCCTCAAGGTCTTGGGCTGGGGCAGCCTATGCTGCTGTCCCAGACACAGGAACTTGCCAGACCTGCAAGAGTTAGACTGTCTCTGGACTCAGGAACAACTGCTGGGGTTGGGAACATGGGCTCTAGGCTCTGCCACGTCCTCCACTGCTGACAAGCCCTTAGATGTCAGTGTTTCCCTGTTTAGTCCTCAGAACCTCCTCAACTCCACCCAGGCTCCTGATCTTCTTCACTCCTGTCTCTTGGTGACCCCACTGCCAACTAGTCCCAAACACACACTCTGCAGACCAGAGTCCTCCCGGGTGCACCCAGCTGTCCCCAGACTTCTCCCCCTGGAAATTGCACGTCAGGCATTGAATCCTTGTTCCCGCAAAGCCTGCCCCTCCTCAGGGTGCCCAGCCCCCCACCCAGAAACCAGGGCAACCTCGTCGCCTCCTTTCTACTTCCCACGGCCAGCAGCCAGCAAGCCCACCAACCCTGCCTCCCTCGTGTCTCTGGAATCTCTCTGTTCCCTGCCTCAGCTTAGGCAGGTCTTATCACCTCTCTCTGGGTGTCTCCCCTCCAACCCATTGGCACAGCATCCAGAATGACTTTTCTATCATGATTACCTCACTCCCTGGCCAAAAACATCCACAGATGAGCCTCAGATGCTCTCATGTTGAAGTGCAAGCTATCTTGGCATGATGGCCCTAGCTGATCTGGTCCACCCTTCAACTTCACCACTGCCGAGGGCATCCCTTGACCCTCCACTGCAGCCCCCCTTGACCTCCTGCCTTTTTCTCAAGCTCCTCCCTGTATCAGTCCTGCCCTCACCCTCCTTCTCTGCTGGCTCTTTCCTCAGAGGCTAACATTGCATTCAGTGAGCATGTGTGGGGTGGCTGCCTGGTTCCTGATAACTTCCCCTTGTCTGGGAATGACCTGAAACCAACAGGCAGCCTCCCCAGATCACATTTGCACTATAGAAGCCTGCTACTGGTCACAGTGGGTTGGACCAGTGGTGGATATTTGACCCAAACTGGGCTGATGAGACTCTGTCACCGGAGTATTTGAAACTTGCCATCGAGAACTCAGGAGTCCCATGCATGGAGTGTCATTAACGCCCACAAGTGACAGAGCACAAAAGGTACCATTCCTGTCCTCAGGCTGCTAGAGCCACCTGTTTCCTGCCCTCCTGAGTCAGCTGTCCCTTCAATTCTCCTCCCATTGCTTGCAACTGAAAAGAAGCTTAACTTTGTCCCTTCTTAAAACTGCCTCCCTTGCTTGGATTATTTGGTTTTTTGGTGTTGAGTTGTAGTTCTTTATATATTTTGGATGCCAACCCTGTATCAGATATGTCATTTGCAAATCTCTCCTCCCACTCAGGTGTCTTTTAGTTTTGCACAAGACATGAACAGACATTCGTCCGTAGAAGACCGACAGAGGGCCAATAGACACATGAAAAGATGCTCAACACCACTCATCATCAGGGAAATGCAAATCAAAACCACAATGAGATGCCACCTCACACCTGTCAGAATGGCTAAAATAAAAAACACAGGGACATCTGGATGGCTCAGTTGGTTAAGTGTCCGACTTCAGCTCATGATCTCACAGTTCATGAGTTTGAGCCCCACATTGGGCTCGCTGTTGTCAGTGCAGAGCCTGCTTCAGATCCTCTGCCTCTCTCTCTCTCAAAATAAATTTTAAAAATTAAAAAATAAAATCAGGGCCCCTGGGTGACTCAATCAGTTAAGTGTCCGACTTTGGCTCAGGTCGTGATCTCGTGGTCCGTGAGTTCGAGCCCCGTGTGGGGCTCTGTGCTGACAGCTCAGAGCCTGGAGCCTGCTTCAGATTCTGTGTCTCCCTCTCTCTCTGCCTCTCCCCCACTCGTGCTCTCTCTCATTCTCTCTCTCAAAGAAGGAATAAACATTAAAAAATATAAAATAAAATAACAAAATAAAAAACGCAAGAAACAAGTGTTGGCAAGGATATGGAGAAAAAGGAACCCTTGTGCACTGTTGATAGGAACGTGATATGGTGCAGCCACTATGGAGATTCCTCAAAAAGTTACAAATAGAATTACCCTATGGTCCAGTAATTCCACTCCTGACTATCTACCCGAAGAATTTGAAAGAAGGTGTGCATCGCTATGTTTATTGCAGCATTATTTACAGTAGCCAAATCATGGAAGCAGCCCAAGTGTCCATCAATAGATGAATGGATAAGAAGATGGTATATACACACAAGGGAATATTAGCCATCAAAAAGAATGAAATATTGCCATCTGCAATGACATGGATGGAGGTAGAGAGTATAATGCCAAGTGACATAAGTCACAGAAAGACAGATAGCATGTGCTTTCACTCATATGTGGAATTTAAGAGAAAAATGAACAAAGGGGGAAGAAAAGGAAACCCAGAAACAGACTTTTAACTACAGAGAACAAACAGATGGTTGCCAGAGGGGAGGTGGGTGGGGAGTGTGTGAAATAGGGGACGGGGATTAGGATACAACTATCAGTACATGAACACTGACTAATGCATGGAACTGTTGAATCACACACAAACAAAACAAAAAAACACAAAGCTGCCTCCCTTGTCCCAATCTCCCCAGCAGCAAGGATGACCCGGCCCTCCTCCTCTTCATCCATTCTTGACCAAGTCTTCCACGGTCGCCTCACTCCCTCACCTTTCATGTACTCATTCCTCAGCCTGCAGTAATTAAACAAACTTGACCAATACTTATTTAGCATTCTTGCCATGTGCAAGAATGAGAACACAGAATGAGGCACAGCCTGTGTCTTCAGAGAGGTCACAGTCTAACTGGGGGGACGGGCACGGTAAGGGGTAGGTGCAAATTGCAATACAGATTAAAATAAACCGTGGCAAAAAGAATAATAAATAAAAAAGATAAAATAAAATAAAAATAAAATAAAATAAAATAATATAAAATATAAAATAAAATAATATAAACCATGACAAGAGAATAGTAGAGAAACTCACGGGGTGTTATGAGACGGAGGGGCTCACAAAAGGCGTCCCCCGGAGGAGGGGACATCCGAGCAGTTCTATCCAGCTATGAGAAGGAATGCTTTTATGCACAGGTTCCAACTCAGGAAAACTGAGGAGCAGGGACTCCTTTTTACTTTTGTTTAAAATGAAAATAGATTTATTAATACCCGTGGAAAGTGTAATATACTGTAACCGTTTAGATGACTCACTTTATTGATAGGGAAAATTTTCAACAAGAAAGTTGGCACACTGCTTGGCACCTGCTAAAATGTTCTCATCGGGCTCATTTGAAATGCTGGCAGGTAGACGGGCAACAGAGAGTCGATGGACCAGGGACTTTCATCACAGTCACAGAGGATTGGCAAGAACAGAAGGGCAGTATAGGCCGGGGAGAGAGTGTGACCAAAAAGTGCATGGAGAAACACCATGTAGGAGAGAAGGAAAAACAAATAATTACTTTAGTAGGGAGTGGTGTCGGGAAAGGCAAGAAAGGGAACCAAGAGGCGGACAGAGGCCTTATTTCCCTAGCCCGGCCCTTGGTAGCTGTCCTGAGAACAGCAGGGAGTCATCGAGGGTGATTGAGCAAGAGAAAGTTTGTCACTCGAGCAGCAGCAGTGTCAGGGAAGGGAGGACTGCTCTACCCCTGGTGAGCCCTTACGCCCTAGACACCTCCGTCCCTGAGGCTCGCGGTCCCCTTGTAGTATCCACTATCCTTCAGCTGTCAGGTATGGGTGGGGGGTGACCAAAGATGGGGGCTCAGAAGGAAAAGTGGTCCCTGCCGCCCTCTGTCCCCAGCCCGCCGGCCCCAGGCTGAATGTAATTGTCCTCGATGAAGCCATCGTCATCTTCTTCACCCACCTCCGGACAGACACCCTTCCCGGTCCCGGGCAGCGGGCGGTGCTGGTAGCTGGCACGGTATTTGCGGCAGAGGTGGCACTTGGCAGCAAGCGCGATGAGGAGAGAGAGGACCACAGCCCCCAGCACGACGCCCACCAGCACAGGCCATGCCCGGGCCCCAGTGCCCAGCCCAGGGGAGATGGCTGATGCCGTGGAGAGCTCTGAGGGCCCCACAGTGGCTGCAGAGAAAGGGACAGCATTATGCATGGGGCCCCAGATGGGTTCCCTGGGGAGACCGAAAGGTGTGGGGACAGGGTCCTTCTCCCAACCCCCTCCCCAGCCCCCTTCCCATTCACTCACTTTGGTTTGCCTCACTCATGAAGGGGCCTGGAGACACCGGTGAGCCTCAGCCTCTGCCAGAAGAGCCGTAGCTCCAAGGAGACCCCCCAGATGCCAGGCAGCCCTGGAGCACAGAGTCCTAGAACATATACACCACGTGCAGGTGTCGTGGGAGGCCACAGGTACACATTCCAGGGCAGACTCACAGCCATGTTAGGGCGCTGCACCAACTCTGGGCACTGGACAATTAACCATAACCGATTGTGCACGCAAGAGAAGCTGAGCACCTGGAAATTGGCTATTTGTAAGGGGAGACTGTAGGGTCCAGGTCAGAAAGCAGCTGAAACAAATAAATCAATGCTGGAACTTGCTAAGCACTACGTATGATTCAGGCACCGGGCGGGATGTCCTCACAGAACACTGTAAGGTGGGTATAAACATTATCCTCTCTCTGTAGATGAGGACTCGGAGGCCCAGAGGGGTGAACCAACTCGGACAAAAGTCCTGGGACTTGAACCCAGGTCTCTGACACCGGGGCCCAGAGCCCAATCTGCTACACTGCCTGATAGGCTGAGGTTGGGAAGATGGGACAGAGGCAGTTCTGGCTCCCAGGGGTCAGACAACAGCAATGGCTGAGAGCTAATGAACAAAAGTAGAGACCACACGTGGAGGACGGTGCCTGTCCCTACCCAGGCAGGGGGCCCCTCTCCTCCTCAGGCAGGAGCCCCTGCCACCCCACCTTGACCCTCAGCTCTTCAGACACATCCCTTGTCCATCCACCTCTGCCCAGAGGGAAGCAGTTTCAGCGAGGAGCCAAATGCAGATCATCTGGATCAGGAAATTACCTGGGTAAGAACCACTAGGGCTAGGGAGGAGAACCTGAATTAAGGGAGTATCTGGAAGAAGACCATCTAGGCATGGGAATACCTGTAGGAGGAGCAGCTGAGTCAGAGGAATGTCTGGAGGAGCAACACCCGAATCTGAGGAGTACTTGGGGAAGTACCTGTCAGAGGAACAGCTAGGACTGGAGATTATTGCAGGTGGACCACCTCAATCAGAGGAGTACCTGGGGAGGAGGATCCAGGCTAGGAAAGCACCTAGGAGAGAAGCATCTGGTTTAGGGGAGTACCTGCCATATATTCTTTAATACTGATATCTTAATGATACCCTCCCTCCTCACCTCCAACCTGTCACCAAGCCCCATCAGTTCTTCCTGGAACTAAGTATCTCTGGAATGGCTCTGTCCCTCCTCTGCACCCAGCCACTGCCCCAGTCCAAGCCACCTTCATCTTGTACCTTGACTCTTACAATGCCCCCCCCCCCCCCC